AGGAGTCCTCCATTGCTTTCCTCGCTCGAAGTAGAAAGTGCGTTTCATGCTTGGAGATGCAGTAGGGGGAGTTTGCCGGAAGGAACGACGTTGCGAAGCAAGCGGTGAGGTATAACGCTTCAAGAAGGGCAGGATGAGGTTGCTGTCTTGGATCTCGCAGTTCCAAGGATTGAAACAATGTTGGAAGGTGAAAGTACGAAAAGTACTGGCCGGACGCAGATACCGCGATGTTGATCCTTGGAGGATGGCTCAACGCGACTTCGCTAGATGTCATTAGACGCGACTCACAAGTAGTTCCGGACTGGCGGGGACAGAATGGGGTGGTCCCACCACCTCTCTTTCATCTCTACTGGACGCCGATTAAAAGGCGGGGGTATTCCTTTCAAAACGAATTGAATTGGTGCGCGCGAGCTTCGAAACGACTTGCTCTTACCTATCTCGTCTTTCGGATCAGCGACGTTCCAATTAACCTCTGCAGCAACGACGATGCCTGCGGTCTCTTTCCTGGTAAGGTTCTGCAGCTTGCGTTCCAACTGTTGGATTTGCTGCTCGAGTTGCTCGAGTTCTGATTGTGTTCTCTGGCTGTGAGGTCCAGAAGCTGTTGTCCCTGGTGCCCGACGGTAGTACTCGCAATCGGGGAATAAACCATCGCAAGGCTATCCGTGCGGGTCGAAATATCAGCGAAAAGGACACGGGGAACCAACACCCGAACGTACCCTGTTTCGTTCGCCGCACTTTGGGCAAGATTCTCGTTCTTTTCGTTTCAAATCTGCCATATAAAAGACTTTGTTAGGTGCTCTTTTAACGATCTTGAGTTGAAGGCAGGTCATTACTTTGTAACCCGTTTTTATACGTTCGTATGAGGACCACGTCACCCGGCCTCGTCACTAGCATATCTCGGAAGCGCCACATAGTCACAGTATCTCGGGATTGTATGACCAAGATGTAGAATTTGTTCCTGAGAGGTTCCGCCCTGGGCGCCTGGGGGTCCTTGAGGGATGGTGGTGACGGGATGGTGGAGGGCCCGCCGTGAGGTGAGAGCTGACAAAGCTTTCTCCTTCTCCGTCGCCGCTTGCAAGCTGTAGATAACTGTTTCAGCAAACTTCAAGCGAGATGAAACGTTACTAAGCGTGAACCCATGCGTTGTCTGTTGCCATGAATAGTCAAATGATTGGGTGTGGAGGCTTGGTCACGTGTTCAATTGATCGTCACGGCGTTGCCATTGCCGTGCAATCAGGGACCCTTAGCCGCCCGAATTTCGCTTGTGGAAGTAAATCCCGGGGATATGTGGTCCGGGGGAGGTGGCAGATCTTTTCACGGGGCCGAAGCGCAAATACACACAACGTCCGAACAGAGGGAAGCGAGTTGGACCGGCGCTCGAATACCAGGCCGAAAACTCTTGGAAAGGCGTACATATACCGACAAGGTTGCATCCAGATGTAACCCGAACAAGTAAAGAAGGAATAGAGAGGTGAAGGCAGGCATCTGAGGTCTTAATAGTTGATACCAAGTGTCCGTAACATATTCAGAAAAGGCAGTCCACAGCATTGACCAAACAACCCCAAAATTATTTGTTAGTTTACCTGAAAGAATGATACGGTCAGCCAAATAGCGTAAGCGGGCCTCCGGAATTCGAACCACCTTTCGGCCTTCGTCACGGCGCCGTCCAGGAAGGATATGCAAGACGTGAGGTCGGCGACTTCTGGGTCATCGGCGGATCGGAGGGATATAATCCTTTCTCTGTATTGGTTGAGCCATGCGGAAGTCTCTTGCCAGCAAAGCTAGAAGAGCATTCCCATTAGCGCTACATCATGAAGAGGCTCCCTTGAACTTACTCGCTGCAAGGGGCAGATCCGGGCTGCATCTCGTTTCGAGAACCCTAACGCCGAATCATGGATGGACCGAGCATGTCGAAGTACAGTGGGATCGCCCATGGGTCCTGGTTCCGTCGAAGATTTGAGAAACTCCATGGCCGTTAGGTGCGCCACGCTCAGAATGCAAACCGAGTGGGCGGGGGTTAAATCTACTGTGCCATCCCTGGCTCTATTAATGATACGATCGTTACACAGTAGCAATGGATGAATGGCTATTCTCGTCATAAGTATGATGTCATCCTCTTGACAGAAAGAAAACCTACTTACCGCGTGGACCCGTTGCGGATGCCCTTTTGGCCTTGTGAAGAAGGGCCAATGAAACGACTTCTATCGCAAATGCTGAGCCAAGCCAATCCATTTCTATGCTCTGATTTGTAACGGAGTTTAGGACGTTGGAGATGGAGTTACTGGCACCACCGTTGACGTTGAACTAACACCTCAAATGAAGTCAGTAAACAAATAGAGGAATTTCTAGTAGATGTTCTCACGTTCCCGTCTTCGTAGCCTGGCAGAGGCAGTGGTGTCATCAACTGGTCGGTCTCCTCGTCCAACGCTGGAGCGAGGCCGTAGACGAGGGCATAGATTCGATCTTGAACAAAGAGGTTCCAGAACGTGTGAATCCGTTCTGCAACTTCATTCGGTGTGGTTATTGGAGGAACCAATCCCTGGTATTCTGACCCTGAAGGATAATGAGGCGGTTGTTGAAAAGAGCTGGTGGGTTGAGGGAGTTTGTGCAGATCACACGCTAGGGCCAAGCGGGCCGCGCCACAATGGTGGTGATACCTATATCAACATGAGACAAGTCGAGGTCACTAATCGCGTTCACAGCCACAATGAAAGCTCACGGACCCCTCGAGATGTCGGCCCTTTGAATTGAGGTAGGCTGAAAGAGCGCTGCTTGCCCTTAGATAATCAAGAAGCCGATCAGCGTTCCCCAGGCTTTCGCTCAGACACTTTCGCGTCCGATGGAGGAAGTGATCCTCGAGATGAGTCAGAGAGTACTGAGAGCCTTGTGGATGCGCGTAGGTCGATGCACAAGCGATGAGGTATATCGCGTTGAGCAAGGATGGATGGGGGTGGTTTGTCGAGTCTCCTGATGCAAGTCGCTGTTGAAATGTTTGATGATAAGGGTGTAGGTGATAATAGGGAGCGACTTTGAAGAATATCTTGAGTCTGTCGCGTTGGGTCAACGATGCTGCCCGAGTCGACAAGATTCCACCACTTACAGGTAATCCCGGGTAGCAGGGACCAGCTCGTTCTGCGACCACCAATTGCCGGTCATCTCCGTCGGTGGCTGGTCGAATGGTGGAGGTGAACCTATTTGCTACCAAGTCAGACGTCTGGGTTCTTGAAAAGCTTTCGTACTCGCCTGGTCCTCCTGAGAACTCTGGAGACCCCCCGGAAGCTGGGGGAGAAATAGACGTGGACGACGTTCCCGAAACTCCCGAGAGACGATCCAGCTCTGCTTCAAGCTCACGTACCCGGTCTGAGAGGTACTGCTGTTCGTTTCGAATGCGTGCTTGACGCGGACGCAAATTGGGTCCTGGCATCGAACGTCGATAATAGTCGCACTCTGGATACAGGCCCTCGCAAGCCTTGGATAAACGCTGGTCAGTGCTCTCTAAATGGAGTGATTAAGAGGTAACTCACGCGTCCACGTAGCAAGCACTCGGCACAGGGACCTAGAAGTTGGCGTTTCGAAGACATGGTGAGGTTGTTGATACTTTGTGCCCCCCATGGTCGCTAGCACCTATTTTATAACGATTAAGGCGCAGTAATTTGAGCAGCGCACGGGTATGAGAAATGAACGCACGGCTCGCGTGCTTGGTATTGACATCGATGACCCCTGTGCGCCCAGAGGCGAGCTGTGGGATGTGTGGTCAGCCCCCCCGCCCATTCAAAGTTCACTCCTGACAGATGTTTCACTTTCCATTGTCTCGGAAATTCACTCAGCATCAGATCTATGATTCACTTGAACGAGATCGGTGCTGACGCTGTGGTGGAGATGGGGTCGCAATCGTTGGCGCTGACCACCGGGGAAACTTCGCGGGCAGGGCCGTTCAGGGCTGCGGTTAGGCCTTGGCCATATAATCCAATAATGGAAAGACGCCACGGATTTGGTACCGGAGTTGACGATCTTTTGAAGGGTCAAGAAGTCTGATGACGAGGCTCTCGTTGTCATGCGGGGAGGTCTCGGTGACGAGCAAGGTATTTTTCGGAGGCATGCGGCTTTCCACGGCGAAAGCACACCCTAGGCCGGTCTGCGGCAGAGCTGTGCCTTGTTGCGCAGCCGAGCTTGGCTAAACCAGTGGACAGTCGTTGAGGAGCGCCGTGGAGGATAAAATCAAACAAGTACGGGTTGGAAGGGATAAATGGCTGGTCCTTGAACCCTGGAAAGAAATGCCGAGACACGACGAGCGAATCAAGGCCTGATATGGGCATCCTCCCGAGGTTCCCCGACTTCTCAGTAAAGAAGCTTGAGCTGAATTGTGCAGCATAAGGTTTGCTGTTCGATGAAGGCCGACCTGAGATCGGCGACGCTGGATACGATGGTGAGAGCACCGCCGCAGCCACGCTCGCTCAATCAGCGACCGGGATTGCACGCCTCTTCGAAGGCGTTCTCTGAGCTCTCTCCTTTGGGGGAATTCGCTTCCCGCAACTGCCTGACGCTGGCGCGAACCCGATTGTGCGACGAAACGAAGGGCTTTTGCGCAGTCCCGCCCACAGTCGATTCTCGACAAAAGCTCTCACAGAACGTAACTCACAAGGCATGCTTTTACATTCAGACCAGAGCGCTTGCGCAGCCGTTAGGTTCGAGGGTCGGGGAGGTTGGATTAACGTTCTCTAGCCGCGGTCTTGAATGAATTGCTCATCGATCCCAAGTAAGTACGGACCTGCGCGGCGAGTACAAGAATGCCAGCAACCGTCACCGTTGGATTGCCGTGTCGCAAAGCGGCAAAAGGGGTGGTGGTCGTGATAAGGAACGCCCCAAACTGCGCGGCGGTTGGGCTGCGGACTTGCTTCGGCGCAAATCAATGAACCGATAAAACATTGAAAAAGGGACCGAGAAAAATGAGGGAAAAGGATCTCAGACATTACATAAGGATGACATAAGCAAAAATGCACTGGACAGTGTGGGGATTGAACCCACGCCCTCCTCAACTCAATCGATCCGAGGTTCGATCCCTAAGGCGTCTAACCGAAGGGGGTGCAAATGAGGCGCGCTACCACTGCGCCAACTGCCCGACATAGCCGGAAAAGAGCGGCATACTTACATAGCAGCACAAAACTGTGTCGTAGGCATCTCACAACCCCGTAAACGACCGCTTTCGGACTTGTTAAACGTACGCTACAATGTGAAATGCCGCAACCCGGGCCGGGCGGGGAAGCGCGGCGGGGGGGCCAGCCCCCGGATTCCGGTCGCACGGCGCACTGCCGCCGGCTGACTACTGGAATCTCCGGACGGGAGAACGTCATCATTCGTGCCCCGTGTGAACTCCATCGGATCGCTAGGTGGGCAGCAAGTATTTCGTCTGTGGGGAGAAAGTGGAGAGTGAAGGTATCGTCGATGAAAAAGGCGGCATAGTTGTGAGTTTCGGACGCAGAGAGGCGCCGAGGCATTTATCAGATAGTTTACAGACTGGCTACTACATATACAGTTTCTATACCACAAATAATCCGGATGTTGTCCTTCCTGAGCTTTCGGAGCGGACTTCGAATTAATATTATGGCCACGGCTTTGATACAGGCGGGTCGTTATGAAGTTCGTGAAATGATCACGACAGCGCGAGCTAGCAGCTGCATCTCTCTCTTCATAGGTAAAGTTACTTGATGTGCAGGAGAGTTTCAGGATGCCTCTGGTGTTTCGAACTCCGCAGAAGGGACCTTGGGGCGGCGAGTGCTGTCTTGCGATTGGGACTTTCTTGTTGAAGCTAATGAATGCTTCACTCGATTTGTGGGTCGGGCAGTGGTCGCGGGCAAAGGAGCGAGCGGCGGAGCATGCAGTGGCAACAACTTCAAGTGTCAAACTAATCGAGTGACAACCAATAAGGCCACAATTGGCAAGAGACAAGACATATTTCCAGGAGCGCATGCAGGGAGAGAAACACGAAGCACAAAATGAAAAGGAAAGAGTGAAAAAGCGGAGGACCAAGAATGCGGTTCGAAAGTGCAGGTAATCAGCAGCATGCTACCACGCAGCCAGACTGC